CAAATGGTTGGCAATCTGTGCGCAAAATAACACATCAAAATTTTGCAAAAATAAATGAAATTGGTTATTTTAATTCTTCTTTGGCCTGCCGTTAATGGGCCGTATTTTTATGCCCGGTGCAACGCGGTGGGGCGTGTGGTGCGTGCAACAACTCATTCAAATCGTAAACAATCGCAAAAATATTTGATTTCAGCGCAGACGCGCCTTCAGCTATGCACTCGCTTTTGTCAAAAGAGACATCAGCCTGTTGTTGTGCCAACAAATTGTGTAGCACGGCAGTTACTTGCACCATTTTTTGTGCACCATTTCGACATGAATTGATTGTGTCTTAGCGGCAGCTTCATTTACATCGAAAAATTGTGGCAAGAAATGTCACGCACTGCGGCTGACCACACTTCTCCACTGAAACAACAACAGCAACACTCAATTTGATAGTATTCAAGCAACAAACTTGGCAGCATATCAGGCTTACAGCTGCCACCTCCAGCAGTGTGGCAGACGCAGCAGTAATGGAAATCCTATTAATTTAGCGAAAAGTTCTGTTTAAGATTTTATATAGAAAAACAAACAAAAGACGGAGCGCGCTGTTTGCGAAATTGCTAATGGCATGCGATATTCCTTTGCAACCCTCAGAAAAATGGACGAAAAGTCGTCGCTGACCTAAAATTTTCCAAAGATGGCTAAGAGTTTTACCTAGATTCTTCACTTATGAAATAAATATATATAAATTACAGAGTAGGCGCATAAATAGCAGAAGCGGAATTCAAATTTACTTCTACACCACGAAAATTTCAAAAATGTAGAATTATACTCACGCCTATACAAATTAAAATCTGTTGGTGAGGGTAAGATGTCGATGCCATTTCGTCGTAAAATTATAAATTTTCGCCTAAATGTTTAGTGACTTTTGCAATTCTTTTCGCTACTCAAATATTAAAAAATATCTCTTTCGAATGCTCAAAATTAATTAAATAATTGTTATATAGAAGAGGCAACCTCTTGCGCTCTGATCTTCTCTGGTCACTAGCTTTGTTATACCTATATAAGTTATTCGTTTTTGAAAGCAATTTTAGCTCCATATATTCGCATCCAATATGTTATATATACATATAATAATTATTTATTAATTATTATTTGAAATAATTGGAGTACTTTCTTATTTTTTACCACCCTCTATGGTTGGCTTTATGCATATACTTTTACATTAGTTCTAATGCTTCATACAGTCACCGACGCAAAACCGTAGACCGAATCAGCTGATACGACCCATTTTATGAGAGCGCAATGTAAATGAATACTTACCACCGCTTCTACCATCCACTTCTACAAACCGTACAGCAGGATATCCTCGCAAATTGTATTTTTCCCATAGAAACGAGTGAGCTGATTGCTCTCTTGCAGCGCAGTGTTGCCAGTCTCGATATTTTGTAGTAATTAAAAAATAAACTTGAATATATTTGTAATATTATTAAAATAACTCAAAATCACAGTCGAATACATATGTATATTTATAAATAGGTAGATATTTCTTAATAGTTGGATTTTAGTTTTGAGCTTTTACATTATGAAAAATTATAACTAAATGTGTGCAAAATCATGTATATAAATTGAGCGATGGCAACAACTGATTTCCACGTTACCACTAAGGCATAACTTTTAACAAATTTTGTTTAGTACGGGCGGTAAGTACGGAAGGGCGGAGTGTCGGTGACTGTTTGAAGCATAAGTAATCTAAGAAAAAATTAGGGCATCGTCTCGCTCTGTAGCAAATTTTAACTTTTTTATTAAGTATTTAGTATTTTTTCGTCACATATTTTTAATATTATCTAAAAACAAGGCACCGTCTTCGTAAAAAAAGTCAATGCGACATTACATATCACGACATTTCCCTGCTCAGTCTAATCGAAGAACTTGAAGCAAACCAAGAATTGCTACAAACAGTTATAATTATATTTTGTATTATTTAAATATTCATTTGAAATTTCACAAACAATTCTACCTACTTTCATATACATATATGGTACATATATACATATACTTGTATGCACATATTTGCACATAGGCAACTCTAAATGTGTATTCTGTATGCATTAGTAATGAATAGTAATTAAAATTAATCAGCTGCTAATGTGAAAATATATGCAATATCACGACTGTTTCGAGCGAAAATAATTAACGCAAGCAATACATATAAATATGTAAGTGCAGGTACCCACGTATACACCTATTCACATACAAACATATATGAATAAGTACAGTATACGATACACGTATAAATATGTGCGCGCACACACACTGTTGCATAAGGAAAGGTACCGCCAATAATCTAATCATGGCAGATATATTGAAGCATTTAGCTTCAAGTCAAGTTAATTTCCAGCCATAAACTTTATAAGCGATTGGCATTTAATTTGAAACAAGCAAGTGGCTACTGTAGAAGTTTAATCTCAAGTGCCAGCCAACTCTCCATGAATAATTCAATTTAAAATAATGTATGCTTAATAAGCATAAACCCTGAATGATTAGACATGCTACATGATTAGATACATATTTTGATTATGTAGATATTTATAATAACTGATAAACGTCGCAAACAACTGAAATTAATACGTATATATGAATACATTGTAATACGTGTATGTTGAAATTTAATGAAAATTGCACTATTTCACTTCTAAAATCTTCAGTTTCGTTAAACGTAAAAAACCTTTTTAAACAGTCAATTTCCAACAGTCAAAAAAGATTATATCTAAAAATTTTGCTATTTTTTTTAATGGTTTAAGATTTGAATTGTTATGCAATTAATTATATTACTCCATTTGCCATTCTACTTGAGGTAAAAGGACCACATATAGACAATGAGCTGTGTACATCGAACTTTTAATATTATTCATTATTTACAAGTATTATTCGATTCCGCACACAATCACTCATGACATTGACTTCACTCCCATAGCCCAATGACGACTATTTGTACATCGCATATTATGTTGCAGCCTAGCCGAGCGGGTCGCCGCTCATCACACGACTTTTTTCTAATACTTACATTTTTAATTCGTCATAGCTTTCGAATGGAATGTCCGAATCGAATAATTTAAAAACTTAAATATAGGTATTGAAATATTCTTGAATATCAAGCAATTAATTTTGATAAGAATTAACACTCAAGTACAAATGAAGAACTCTCACAGACGCGTTGTTTTAATTATTTTTATTTTTTTAAACAAAAGAACACTTCCTGTGACGTAACTATAGCAGTTAGACATATGCTGTCGCGACATTTTTGGTAGATAATTATATTTTCTATAAAGTCGTAGTACACTATTTTTTTATAATCAATCTTATTCGCAACGCACGCAATGTAAGGCATTTTTTAGTTAATTTTTTCATAGCTTGGGTCATATTTTTTGTATTTTCGTATGAATTCCTAACTTTTTATATATAATAAGATATAATATAATATACCCTATATTCACCGCGGAGAGTGTAGCTTCGCTACGGTAAAGAAATTTTGAAAATCCGTGAAGTAATTTCGGAGCCTATTCAATTCAAACAAACAAACAATCAAATCCTTCCTCTTCATAATATTTATTAGTATAGAGTTAGCTGCCCATATTTGCTTCGGCAAAATCCGGTATGGTTTTTTTAGTTATCGATTTTTACCATGTTATAATTCACCGAAAATCGCGACCCATAACAGGTGAGAGAGTAACAGAATTTTATTCAAGTCATTCTTATTTTTTTAATTTCTAAACCCGGGTATAGAGTTTCTGGTAGACTGCTAAATGAATCAAACGTTTTCAATTTTTATAATATATAATAGTATATAACGAGAACAAGTTCCGGATCCCAGAACTATATTTTTCTGATACCAAAATGTTTAGGTAGTATTATAGTAAATTGCGCTCATAAAATATGGCTGTTGGGTATTCAAGTTTTTACACTAGATTATCCAAATATTTTTAATACAGACTTGCGGCCAAATCATGCTTTGCGATTTCTTTTACTAAAATATTATATCAAAAAATGTGCCATATGCCTAAAACACACTTAAATTCAATACGTTTACCCTTGTTCGAACTTGCTTACAAATTTATTTAGCAACTTTAAGGCAATAGCTATTTAAATTAGACCTGTCTCATAAACGACACCCACAGCCTCCACAAATATGTAGCTACAAACATAAAAATTCAGAACACAACTGAATTGGTTGTCATAAACATGTCACTTATATATTTATTATTGTTAAATACGATTATATACTTAAATTTATGCAATTTATTCATAATGTACACCAAACGAACTCACCAACTCGCGCGCTGACCAACTCTCATACGGGCGCACACGCACACACATACATACATACTAATAAGCGTGTGATATATGCCCAAATAGACGAAGCAAGCTGACAATGAGATCACTGCGTCTTCGAGCTCAGTCGCTTTGTTGCTTAGTGCCACAAATATAAATTATTCAAGCCATTGGCACACCCAAAACAGCAGCACGCCTGACTCCACCGGCTACTTCGTGCCATCAACCGAGAGAGCGTTCAGTGTTAACGCTATTCAATAAAAATGCGTACTTTTAAGTTTTCCAAAAACATTATATTATTTAATTTGAATATTTTCAATACGTACATACATACATTTAAGTATAAATAAAGCAGTCTATGAAGCCGTGAAAGCGGCGATTTTTTCTAAATTACAACCTACAACTATTAGGTACAGCAAAAACTGGAGAAACAAAAAATTCGCTAATTTATCATATAACAAATTACATACAAACATTTATACAATTTAAATAAAAATAACTTGTACCTACTATAACTGGCCTACGTACATACATACATACATACAGTTGTGTGTATTCATGTGCATTTGCAAAGGTGCTTGGTGTGTTTATCTCTTTCGTCGTCGACGATCGGTTGTGTCGAAGGCGATCATAAATTAAGCGAAACGCGCGCGAAACGGCCTTTCCATAAATACTTTTGCTTTGGCATATTTGTTTTATGTTGTTTTATTTTTATTTTAATAAATCTATGTGCCTAAACCTAAATATTTCTTCAAGTGTGTGTATGTGTGTGTGTGTGATTCACTATGCATTTAACTAATGGTAATGATGACTTGAATTAAGTTTTGTGTGTGTATTTGTGTATGTTAGTGTCTCCAACCATGAGACATAACAGCCTCTTTACGGGTCATAACTGGGAACTTTTGTTGTGAACTTTGAATGGCCGACAACCTGAAACGGATCGGGGATCCAGAAGCGCAGCCGCCATGCGGCCCTTTGTCACAACCACCGCACGTCTAGCCGTGGGCTGTGCTCGTACATGCCGGAATGTATCGCGCCGCCATATATATACATGACAAGCCAACTGCCTTCCACCGCCACAGCGATCGTTTGGGAATTTGCAGCTTCCAGCGCGAACTTTTCACAGTCGCTGCTGCTGCGCTCTGCTAACTTGCACCAATGTCTATTTGCAATTGCTGTGACTGCGACCGTCTACCTGCTCATGATTTCATCAATACTGAAACCAAGCGCACGTTTCGGTCGCTGACAGCAGTTGATCCTTTGCACACCCGACGCGGAGAGATCAAGTATGGGTGTTGTCGTTGTGCTGGTTGGCGCGCTGTTCAGCGTTGTTGTTGGAACTTCATCCGTTAACATGTTCAAGTCACTGCATTTGGCATTGCTGCTGCACTGTTTGATCGCGGCCAATTGCGCCTCAGTATGGCTGTGCAAGTGACTGCGCAAGTTGGCGCGCTGATTGAAGCTACGCTGGCAGATGGGGCATTTGTGTGGCGCCTCCTCCAAATGGGTCACCTTGTGTACGGCAAGCGTGCGCGACTGGCAGAAGCCTTTGCCGCAATCGCTGCACTTGAACGGCTTCTCCTTGGAGTGTATGTAGCGGTGATCGCGCAAGTGATCTTGTCGGCGGAATGCCTTGCCGCAAATGTCGCACGAATACGGCCGCTCATCGGTGTGTGTGCGTTCGTGAATGAGCAGATTGTACGACTTGGTGAAATGACGATTGCAGTACTTGCAAATGAATTGCTTTTTTGGGCGGCTGCCGGCACCGGTTGTAGCGCCAGCCAACTTCATGGCTGCGGGCAGTCCAAGGCGTGCAGCGGGATGTAGTGGATGGAGCGTGGGGTAGGGGCGCATATGGGGCGCAGCAGCGCCAGCTGGTATTGGGTGTGGATGCGGTGCATGCGGGTGCTGGTGGTAGAGCGCGGCACTGCGCAACCACTGGTTCATGAGTAACGCCTGATGTTGTTGCACTGCGTCGGCGGCAACCGTTGAACCGGGCAAAAATTGCGCAGCATGACCGTAAGCATAAGCGGCAGCGGCTTGTTGCTGATGCTGCTGCTGTTGCATATGCAACCACAAACGATGCTGCTGTTGTTGCTGCTGCTGTGCTGCTTGTTGTTGTTGCAATTGTTGTGCTTCTAGCATTGCATTGGGATAGGGGCGGCGTTGTGGTTGTGGCGACGTCTGCAACAGTGTCATCTGTGGATGCTGTTGCTGCAACTGCAGCTGCTGTGTCTGCAATTGCTGCTGCTCCATTTCATAGAGCGTTATGCTGCTCATGTGTGTTGGCTGTTGGGTGCGTGCGCGTGTGTGTTCTTCCGTCGGCGTGTGTGGCGGTGTCAATATGGGCGAAATGCTGCTCTCGCGTTCCTCTTTGATGACCAGGTACTCTGGGGCAAAATCTATTTGGGAAATAGTGAAAATACCGGATAAGTTATGGCGAATATGGAAATCAAGTAAGATTCTCTGGCAGAAAAGTGACTGGTCTAAGAATTTTTTGCTCTAAATTCAACTTGCCAAACACAAGTACACAAAACAACAAGCTTTATATAACTTTTTTTTACAGAAAGGCATTATTTTTTGTTATTATTTCAGTGTGCATAGAGTTCTTCGTTGTATTTGGGAATGCATGGTCACTGAGGCATTCCGCCGTCGGCAAAACGGTTTCATATCAGCCATTAAGGTCTGAGAAATTCGGTACTTTCACACTTAGCCGTCGCTATACGGAAACTTACCGTGCTCTTTTATGCTGATCTCGTCGTCCACCGTCACGTTGCTCAGTGGCGAAGCCGATCTGGAGGACATATTTGGTTGGATATTCACTTGTTTGGCTAAGTTCTTGATTTGCTACGCTTAAATCTTTTTAGCTCACTGAACTTAGTTTTTAAAATCTCAAATTTACGTCTTTGCTTTAACGAATTGGTGACGACTCTTGTTGTGTTGTTATAACACTCGGCGTCCGCACTGGCTGTCAATGTTACTCGGACAACGTCTCGACTCAAACTGATTTCTGGTTTGCTTTCTCGCGAGCAACTCAATTTCCAAAGTGTCTTTCACTCGACTGGCGCAGGCACAAAAGTGTTGCTGGTATTGCGCTGGCTGCGTCTGTGTGCGTTCGGCTTGTGTATATGTGAGCGTGCTCTTCACCTTATCGCACTAACACTAAGCTAGTTTTTTTTTTGTGTGTGTGTGCGTGTGACACGCTGAGCGTAGATAGTTTGTGAATACGCTGGTGCTGGTTGGCTTCTGATTCTGTAACTTCCGCTTGATGGCTCGCTTACTTGTACCGTGTTTCTTTGGTTTCTGTTGTGTCTGTGGCAACTGCTCCGTTGTTGTGAGTAGCTCAAATGTGACTGTAGCTGCTGCCGCTGTGGCAACTGGTTTTTGAAGCCGTCAATGTGTTGCACAGGCAAGCGGCAAGCGGTGGCAGTATGCATATGTGTTCGGCCAAACCGCCACCAGAAAGTAATGCACAACAACAACTAACACGCTGTCACTGTCGTTATGCATGGATGTGTGCGTGTATGCGTATTATATTGCTTTTGTTTGTTCGCAGCTCGTTTTGTACGTGTGTGTGGTGAATTATTTGGAAATGGCTGTTTGGTATACGCCCACCATTAGTGCGCGGCTTGGGATTGGCTGTTGCAGTAATGCCTGTTGGGCTCTATTGTCGGTGTTGTTGTTGCCTTACCCACTATCCTGTAGCCTGTTTCGGCTGCCTCTGCTTCAGCTGCTGCTGTCGCTGCCGCTGCTACCACATACACGCATTGTACGCATATTTATTTGTTGTTGTTCTCTGTGCTCTGTGCCACCACAGCAGCTAGCGAGCGGAAACTGTTTGCTGACGTTCGGCTTCTGACGCTTCGTTCCTGCCACCAGCGCGTCACCGAACCAACTGCGTTTCTGGCTGGTTGGAGCAAAGGTGGGCCGAAGTGGGTGTGTGACCATGTGTAGTTGTATACTGCTGTGTGTGTATATGTGTTGATAAGCAGGCAGTACATCAGCGCGACTATTGGTCCCACTGGCTCGGCGGCACTTTTTTCTGCATTCTATTTAATGTGGCTGTGTTGATGTTTTTTACTCTTATCACCAATAAATACGATTTTAAGCGCTTTTTGCGCGCATATACATACCATACATATGTAAATGTATGTACAAAGCTGTTTTACTTCCAGGCATATGCTTTCCTATATACACGCGCGTTCTCTTGCTTTCTCGATATTTTGTAGTTAATTTAATTTTTTGCTTATTTGAATGACGTGCCACATGGCACGTAAACTCCCTTCAAAAAACGCAATCAAGAAATAATTTGAAAGCGTTTCAATAATATATGTAAACTTAGATTAAAATCGACTTTTTCGGAATATAGAAAATACACCAGAGAATAAATTAAAGTAATTTAAATAAAAGATTTTTTTATATTTAAGTAGCTTTTAGTTTAAATAATAACAAAAAAAAAAATAAATAAATATATTAAAATTTAAAATTGAATATTAATTAATGATTTGCATAAAACTAGTTAATTATATAATTAATAATAATAATAATAAAGCAATTATTGCGTTTGACTTACCAAAGTACACGAAAAAAAAACTTTTTTCCGAAGGAATTTTTTTTCGCCTTAATAGACTTGCGCCGAAATTAAAAAGAAAACAAAAGCAATTTAAAGGAGTTAACCTTCTTGTAACTGTATGTCTTTTATGTTTTTATGTATTTTTTTGGGGTACGGAAACGCCTCAATTCAGTCTTAGTTTCATTCAACTGTTTATTTGTTCATATAAATCTATTTTTTTCACATTTTGTTGTAAATTTACATATTTTTTAAACTGAACAGTAAATATTTTATTAATTAAAAAATAAAAAATTTACATTTCATAAAATTTGAAAGTTTTTCCAAAAAACTGCGCAACTTAGTTTTCGAAAGCAGCTGCGATAGCTTCAGCACAAACTTTACCAGCGGTACACGCCGCAAAGAAGTACAAGTATGTGAACATTTATGTACATATGCCTGCATCATGCCAGCAAACTGACTCCATTGCCATCTGCATGTTCGAACAGCGAATTATTGTCGAGTAAATTGCGCAAAACAGGAAAATTGTTTTAAACTTTAAATGTAATTCCATATTGCAAAGCATACAAGTGTATGCGCGTGTGTGCACAGAAATTGTCGAAACATATGTGTTTATGTGTGCGTGATGCCACACATAACCTTAATTTGCTTTTTCCGGCTGCAGGCGATTTTTCATAGCTGCCAAACGAAATTCAATATGCCATGTACGAGTACAATGCTGACTTTTGATGCGCATATATGGTACACACATACATACATACATATGCAAATATAATGCATAAAACTATGAAAATTTTGCCCGCTAATTGACTTTTGACCTTTGTAAAGTTGCAAAGCGCGCATAGCAAAAACAAAAATCCGCCCTAACCCCATTGCCACAGCATCTATGTACATATGTATGTAGATGAAGTGCATGTGTTTTTTGTTATTGCCTTGCCTGCGTACTTTTGGCTGGCTCAGAAATGAAAGCACATGGCCAGCGGCCTTTTGAGCGTATGTGTGTGTGTGTGTGTGTGGAGTTGAGTTAATGATTTGATTATTTCGTAATGGAAAAGTTTAAAAGCGAAAGATAATTTCTCCATTATCTCCAAATTGCCGGATTCATTTGCATGATTGCATGATTTTTTGTAGTCAATATGTCACTACAATTTCATAAAGTTATATGGAGGCATATACAAGCACATTTATCTACATATATACCATTATACTATATTATTTGATTGTATATGCTTAAGCCGGCAAATAATGCAAAATGTATCACTTCGCTACTTTAAGCTATGATCTATCGAAGCATTGGCTACAACAAATATTGGTGAAGTTTGATATTTTACTGGTATGCGTGAAATTTTAACCACAGCTCGGCGTCTACAGAAAATACTTAATACTTAAATTAAATTGAAGCCTAATATTTACCAAAACGGTAACTAGACACTATCTATATATTAATTGGGTATATAGAAGAGGCTTTTGTAGGAAATAAACGCATCGAATCTCCCCCAGAACCCGAGTAATTTCAAAAGAAAGTAACAACGACGAAATTCAAGCGTGTCTATGTTTCCGTTAACAATTTGGCCGCATAAGCCTAACTAATTTATGTCTCCATACACACGATATATACATGAAAGAGATGCTTATATCTTGCAAATACATATGTATATATGTACGCACATCAAGCTTCCTATAAACAAAGTGTGTCGCCATACCAACTTTTGTGATTCGAACGATTCACTCTTTCGAATGCTTAAACAAAGCCTTAAGTACAGCCTAGCGGATGCGGTACTGCGTTGCAGTGTGTAATAATGTTACTTAACTTTTTCAAAAAAGACATAACGAGGCAATTATTGTAACTGCTTAGAACTCAATTTCAATATTAATATTGCTAGAATATATAACTATTTTAAAATGTAAAAAATTCGGTAAAGACAGCTTGATATGCATATATTTTATTTATGCTCTAGCCTTCAGTTACATTCTGAGCGTTCGATGAAATCTTAAAAGAAAAGAAAATTTTAATGTAAATAAATTTTATTCAATCAAAAACGTTAGAAACCACTTATATTCACGATTTTTATAATTGACTAAATTTAGTCTGTGAGTTAAATCGAGTTTAAGCTTCTCTATGCTTCATGTTTCAAGACTAGTGCGCTTTCTTAAAAATATATAATATTTCCAGTTCTACACGCATTTCTTAAATCTTGCGCGCTTTTCCCACATTTGCTTACATCAGTTAGTCACTTTGAAATAATCCTTTCGGTAATATTTGTGTCTACATATTATATATTTATTTTCAATTATTAGCCATAACTCTCGCAAGAGTAGCCGAAGACTTTTGACTTTGAAAGGTCTTATATTTGCAGTTATTCTTAGGCGAGCGAGTCATGTTTATGCGCATCTGTGCACACTTCGGAAATTCCGAAACGGCAGCCACGGATTAACTTAATGTTATTTACAAATATCATATTGTTCAAGACTCATATGCAGGTATTGACGCCGTGCGGCAACTTTCATTTGAGGACAGCACGCCAGTGTTTGTATAATTGCATATTTACATACATACCTGCCGTCGCATGGACGCACACACTAAACAAAACGCACTATATGTACACACGCATACATATGTGCTCAAGCATATGCAAGGAATTTCTAAACAGTAATGCAGAATGTTAGACGTTTGCTGGCTGAGGCACATGCATGCGGCATTAACTTTTCAAATTTCCATATTTTTCTACGCTTAGCCACACATGTGACAATAGACACTAAAACAACAAATTAAGCGAGCAATAAAAATATTGACCGTATGTGAAGGGACGCCGCGCTTCGGAAAATATTTCAAAGTCGAAAATGGCTTTGAGCTTCAAAATAGAACTACAAGTACAACAACTTTAAATTCGTTTTTAACCGAACTCTTCCCTTAAGCGCATATAAGAAACAAAATTTCAAATCGATGAAATTTAAAATGACTGTAAACTGAAGACTACTATTCAAAGCAGCTAGCGTGATAAGTTATCTAATTCATGTGTTCACGAGCATGATCTTATAAATCCAAATTATTGCAAAGGTAGAAATAAACTTAAATTATGTGGTAAAAAGTAAAAACATGCATTTGATCTTTACTACTACTTTAACAGTTATCCATAAATTAAAAGCAGAAATGTACTCGCATTTTAATTATATGTATGACACACATATTAGACTAGCGCACGAAAGATTTTTTAGGCGAACGAAATCATCATTTGAAATGCTGCATTGAAGTAATCCTAAGTTTTCCTTGTACACGAGCAGAATATATTGCTTGTAGCCAAGAAAAAATCTTTAAATAAATTCCAAACTATTTGAGAAAATTATTAAAAACTCACACAATATTACTTTTTTTCATAAATAAGCATAGTAAACGCTTTCTTGGCAAATAATAGTGGTAGCAAAAAATCAGTGACCGCAATCGACTACAATAGGCAATACAAAGCATACCCGTGTATCAAGCGACTCGTTAAAACATATCAAATATTAAATAAGTTTTCCTAAGTAACTTTTTACAACTGATAAGAGACTTAAAGGACACTGAAGGAGAGAAACAATGCTCAAAGAGCAGCAAGTATAGTAAAATAGAATATAATTGAATTGCAATTATTGAAACTATAATAAACTTGTGTTGCTCCTTGAAAGTAATGCTGATTACTATATAAAAAGATAAATATAGTTTATGATGCATGTCAACTCGAATACAGCCTTCCAGTAATACCATATTTCCCGTGAGAAAAATGGACCGAGTACACTTTCACAACTTCTATTCAGCGCCTCGTTGAAAAGTTGAGAAAAAGATTTTAAAATCGATTGTAGAAATATTAAGACCAGGAATATTTGACGCCCTTTTCTTCGATCGCATATAAATATAAGATGTTTATTATTCTTCAAGTTCTTAATACAATTCATATTGAATGATCATGAACACTAGAGCATCAAGTTTTCACCTGCTTTGAGTTCAACAATTATTTCTCTTGCGATGTAAATGAGTCCGTTAGTAAGCATAATAAGGTTGTAAGGACTAGGAAGTTTTAGTTAAGAGGTTTCAAATCGATGAAGTTCAAGTTCTCACAAGTTTACAAGCACATTTTTGTCTAACAACTCCAAAACATCACTTGATTTGTAGAATTTTAGCATAAAATAAAATCTTTCCATTCATCCAAATTTACGCGAAATAAGGAAAAAGTTTTAGCAATGTACACCTATTATAGAGATAATTGATTCGTACACTACTGAAAATAATTTTTTAGTAATAATAATTTTAATAATAATTAATATAATAAATGAAAATAGTCGCGGTAGTTATACCACTTATAAATTAAAAACTTAAAATCGGGCCGCTTTCAATGAAATCTGCTTTGCTGAACACAGTTCCGTCTTGAATAGCAAAATATAACTTAAAATAACTGAAAATTATATATATTATAAAAAGTTAGAAAGATACTCAAATATATAGAAATTAGTTTTAATCACTGCTTTGGCAGACAGGTTAGCTAGTTTTAAAAAAAAATTAATATTTATAACTTTTTTCTGTTCAATAAATGTTTCAGCACAGCTAAACATATTTTTATAATTTTGCTAAGATCATCAACCAAAAGTTCTTCCATATTTCACATATAGCCTATACATACACATAAGTATATATACCTACTCTATATACATATGAATAAATATTTGTAAATAATATAATAATAAATATGTGTCTTGGCAGGAAACGTCGCGCCGGTAAGTACTGGTTTTCCTGCATAATATATTTGAGAAATTTGTACGCCAGCCCAACAACACCGTTATGAATAAAATATATTTTCATAACAATTGCAACCTGGATTATTTTTGTTGAAACTAAAACGCTCTGGCTTTCCTACTAATTTCCGCAATACAATTCTTTGACTTGAGAACAAGCAAACTATTCTCCCACTTTTTCGTTTAAGCCGATTTGCGCATTGTTTAACATTTTTTGACATACGCCATCGGGATATCGCTCTAAAGTAGCAAATAGTCAAATGAGTCAAGGTTGTTCAAGGACGCTTAGATCGGCAAGGACGCGTATGTTCTACAGCTATTGATTAGAATACGCCATTGTCATATGGATTAAACAATAGAGGATCCCTAAAACGATAACGCCTAGTTTTAAAACATAAACTTTCGTCTTGGCACTATGACACTAGCCTAACAAAAGCCGCAACAGCACCCGCTTAACTACAAAGTCGCCTTCCGGAAATGTAATCAACGCGTAAAAGGATTAGCGGCAAAAATTCAACGGACATAGCAATGAAGAGCAAAGCGATTTCGTCGCGAAATGAAAGCGAAGTCGAATGTTGGTAAAGTGGGCCGTTACAATGGGTGTCAACGTTTGTCTCTTGCAATTAAAGGGTTCATCAGGTACCAACATGGCATACACGCCTTTTATTGAATTCCTTAAAACAACAAATACGCGCATAAGCCAACGCGTCAGCGAAAGCAAGCGAAGAGAAGCTGCGTCGTTGAAAGTCCTTGAATATGAGATTAGGCGTATAGTTGTACGATCTCAAATACCGTCTGGCTGCTAAGCATTGCATGTCCATCGTAAAGCGTAATAATTAGTAAAATGGCGAAATATATGCGAATCTAGCTTTTACTTAATTTTTCGATGGTTGTTGAAATAAATTTTGGACGCTTGCGAAATTGCAAATACAAAGAGCATCTCAGTTTGTAAACGTAATTAGAGTAATCCTTTTGCCTGTCCGCAATTCACGCTTAATACTAATTATGGAAGCCAAACCACGCCCCTAGTGTAAAACATTGCCGCTGTTTGGATGCGTGCATACGGTTAATATGCGCCAGCGTTGGTGTGAGTGTGTGTGTGTGTAGGTAAGGGCAAAGTCTTTATCAGCGAAAGAGGTGGGTATACTACACTTTTCTACACTTTCAGCCACACACACACACACACACACATTTGTATATACTACTCGGTGACATTGCCAGCTTATCATCGGCAAATGGGTAAGTACATATTTATATACATATGTATATAGCATGTAGGAAAGCTTTTGGTAAATGCATAGGAAAAATACTATGATGTATAAAAGCAACGCTCACTCTTATATACTTCTTACATATGTAAATGTATTGGTATATGACTTTTTGTAATTGCCGCCAGTTTATTGTTTCCGTGCATTTGTGCAGTAAATATTTATAATTATTTATTTACAAATATAGCAAATAAGTACACACACACACACAGAGACACACTACTATATAGAAATAGCACAAGCAGTTTTGCATGCACATATACAACTTATATTGAGTACATACAGGTGTGCACATACATAGGTATAAATGTCACATAAGCGCTCGTGCGTTTGTAATGCTCATGTGTAAACAACAATAAAAATATGAGTTCGCAAACAGCGGCTTTGACTTTGATAAATTGCCGTTCCGCTTTGATCTTCGCCGCCTACAACAAATACGTCAAAGACAAATATATAAAAGTGAGGTGAAATACAACCGCCAAAAGGCAAATGTCGCTTGTTTACTGGTAGACATAAAATTTGATTTGCCAATTGATAAGTTACCGATATTTACTGCAAAGATACCGTTAAAAAACGCTATCACGAAATGACGCAAAAACGAGGCGGGTCGTGTGATGAGTGTGGCGGAAGGTCGCCTATAAATTTATCTAGTGCAAATAAGGCCGCAATGGCGAGATGTGCACTTTTTGGCATTATATAATTCATTCGCCATTTAATCGCTTGACTTTCAAATAGACTTTATGGTAGCAATAATGCACAGAAATCTTAAAAATAGATTTCTTCGTGAAAAGTGATAATTATTATTACTCTGAAGTGGCCATAAAAGTAAAATGCTTAATTATTAATGCATAAAAGTAACTGCTGGGGAAAATGGCGTCGTGTTCTTACTTAAGATAAAATGAAAAATAATTATTATTATTGGTTATAATATCAAACAGCGAATTTTATTAGCGATTGTAAAATTTAAATATAGACAATAACAATATAAAGATTATTTAAATTATTACATAAACAATGAGCTACAGATAAATAGTTAGCACGTGGAGAAATTGCATAATGCTATTATGTGTCCGATTATAACAAAAACAAAATATCAAAAAATCAAAATTCACCTATTCCTTTGAACACACCTCATCTATAATATCTTAGCAGTTAGCGTAAATCTTTTTTAAATGCCTGACAAAAGAAAGAACGTCCATTTAGTCTCGGCAATTTTTAAGCCGCGTTCAAAAAAGAGGAAAAGGAATAGTCCACTGCGGAAAAACGATTACTGTTTCTATAAATTAAATGTTTGCCTCAATCGAGAAGGTAATATCCATTTGATTCACACAGTATTCTGTTCTAATTTTCAATTTGAACTGCGCTTAGCTACTTAAG